TCCGCATGGAACCAAAGGCATGTCCTGACCGCCCCTGAGCGGTTCAGAGGCTGAAGTTATCAGAAGCAGGGAGAGAGCACTAAAAACTGGGGCTTGTTCTCTTTTCCTCAATAAACAACAACCGGCCAGAAGTATCAAAGCTTTTGCTCAGGAAAAGAAGCTGTCCTTTCCTGTGTCTCAGCACAAGGCTCCGAGTCAGGGGCGCCCAAGAGGCCGCCTCTCCGGCCAGAATCAGAGAGGCAGCCCCACCCTGCGTAGGCCACACCAGACTTGTGCCTCGCTCGCTCTGGCTGCCGTCACAGAGCACCGCAGACGGGGTGGCTTACACAACAGAAACCTATTTTCTCGTAACCCTGGAGGACAGAAGCTCAAGATCAAGGTGTCGGCACAGCCGGCTCCTCCGAGGCCCCTCTCCTTGGCGTGCGGAGAGACGTCTTGTCCTTCTGTCCCCACATGGTCTTCCCTGCGTGTCTGTGCGCTCCTCTCCTGTTAGGACCCCATCCTAAGATTACCACCCACCTCGGTGACCTCATCTCACCTAATCACCCCGTCAAGGCCCGCTCTCAAAATACAGTCACACGCTGAGATCCTGGGGTTGGGACTTCAACAGGTGAATGTGGGGGACACCAGCCCGTCAGCGCTTGCAGCCCAGCACCCAGGGGACAGGACCCCAAGGAGAAGAGAGCTGCGGAACCTGCTGCGCCCCGTGGGCGGCCTCGGGGATGCACGGAACCGTGGCCTGGAAGGGCAGGAGCTCCCGGAACGTCCAAGGTGCCCAGGTGACCCAGGACCTGGCTGCAGCCACTGCCAGGACAGCCGGCTCCCAACTTGGCCACCGTTGATTCAGTGCCTCGCCCACATGCGTTACCAATGTGTCCTGGGCTGCAGCATCTCAGCAGCACCAGAGGACAGTGCTCCCGGGGCAGGGCGGTGTGAGGCCGGGGCTCTGGGGGGCTGCCCGCCATTAGGGTGGTGGTGGCGGCCGCCCTCAGCCTCCTGCTAGGCCTGGGGAGCCTGGGCAGTGCACCCAGGGGACAGGCCTGATCCTTCCAGAGGACCTGACAGATGAAGTGCGGGGTGGGCAGCAGTGAAAACCATCTGATCACTTCTCTCCTCGCCCTCCCTCGGGAAGGAAGATGGAGAGCCCGAGTTTAAAGGCTTCGGCGTTTGCAAGATTGGGTTTATTTTGTCTAAAGGACTCCCTCGTGAATTGCCCCTCACTTCCTCTGTCCCGGTAGCAATTTTGCATTTTCCTACATTGAACACCAGAATTCCTTTTCCTGTGGGAAAATCCTTCAGGGCAACTTGTTCTTTAGTGGCGAGAGGGCTGAGTGTTGACTTTGCTTTTCTGTACGTGCCGTAGCCGAGGTGCCGGTGTGGGGGCCTCCGGTGCTCGCAGGGGGGGTGCACACGCAAACTGGAGCGCGCCCAACACCCAGCCCCAGTGCTGCTGTCGCTAATAATCTGGGCATCACAGCACAGCTCTCCCCTGCGCCCACGCTCATGGTCATCTCCCCAAGGAGCTGGCAGGAAGGAAGCTAGACAAGGCAGGGAAAGCAAAAGCCAGCCGCTGCTCAGCACCTGCGCTACTTCCCCAAACCAGCAGCGCGCGATTCCTGCTATTTGATCCTAATAAATCTATTCACTGCAGACTATTTTCACCTCCCAGGGAATAAATCACTATTCCCTCTGCCAGGGAGTTCAGCAGGACCGCCAGAAGATTCAGGGGCGGGGGCAGGGGTGGGGAAGCAGATCGGCTCCCCGCCTCCCCATCCTCCCCCAGCCCCCCTGATGTACAACCATGGAGGGGGCTGGGCAGGCCCATCTGCTGACTGGCTGCTTCTGCCTGGCTTCCTTCTGGTAATAAAGAGCTTTCAAAGCACTCTGAACAACCACAGTCCGCATAAAAGCCCATTTGGATCATTTTCTGGATGGTTACTTCTCGGTTATAATTAGTATTAAGAGCCACATAATGTAATTACATTATAAAGTGAAAGTGAAAGGCCCCGCTTTGTAGATGTAGAGTGGCTCCGTCTGGGCTGGCCACCCACCCTCACAGCTTGCTCACCTGGAGGTCAGGGAGCTCACTGCTGGCCAGCATCCCGCCCCGTGCTGGGCAACTCTAACAGGTAAACCTGTCTCTGTCCTCCTCTGGAACGTCCCCTTCTGGTCCTGGTTTGTTCCCTGCGGAGTTATGCAGAGTAAGTCAATTCTCTCCTCTTCCTTCAGGCGCCTGCAGGAACCTCTCCTGTCTCCCCTTGGCCTCTCTGAGCTGAACATGCCCTTTCTCTGAAATCTCTTCCTTGTCTTCTTGGCTGCCTCCCTGGCCCCTTCTAGACACAACTTTGTATATGGGATGCCCATCACTTCTGCTCTCAGCCCGTCAGCCAGAACTCGGTGGCTGGGTCCCACGTATACAGGGGTGTGGGTTGGCTGGGAGTGGGTGCAGCTGGAGATGTAGTCTCTGGCTGGACTTCTGCTTCCAGATTATGCGAGGCGATGACAGGTCTTTGGTGTGTCCCCCCTAGCTATCTCTGCGCCACAACCTCAGACAGATTGTAGCCTGGGAGGTGTTAAATACATTTCTCTCAGACTGTGCATATGGTTATGCTCTTAACCCCAACTAAAATATTAATGTGAAAACAGGTAAGGCCTTTTCACTTTATGACCCAGAAAAAGAACATAAAACTGCCCTATGAGATACTTGTTGCTAAGTAACAAATGACTCCAAAACTTAGTGGCTTAAAACAATAACAAACATTCGTTACCTAACATTTTCAGTGGGTCAGGATTTCGGAGCAGCCTGGCTGGGCAGTCTGGCCTGGGATCTCTCGTGAGGTCACAGTCAGTATGTCAGCTGGGCTGCACTCATCTGAAGGCTTGACTGGGGCTGGACGAGCCAATTCTAAGGGGCTCACTCACATGGCTGGCAAGTTGGTGCTGGCGATTGACAGGAGATGTATTAGTGTGCTCCCACTGTCATAACAAAGTACCACAGACTAGGGGCTTAACCAACAGAGATGTGTTGTCTCACAGTTCTGGAGGCTGAAAGTCTGAGATCAAGATATTGACAGGGTTGATTTCTTGAGGCCTCTGTCCTTGGCTGCTATATGGCTGTGTTTTCCTCATGTTGTCACATGGTCTTCCCTTTGTGTGTATCTGTGCCAAATTCCTTCTCATAAGAACCCCAGTCATATTGGATTAGGGTCCATCCTAATGATCTCATTTAACTTAATTTCCTCTCGAAAGGTCCTGTCTCCAAATACAGTCACATTCTGAAACACTGGGTTAGGCCCACATATAATTTGTATATGGGGTGGGGGGCGGGGGGAGACAACTTAGGCCAGAGCAGAAGGTCTCCGTTCTTCCCACCTGGGCCTCTGCACAGGCTGCTATAGCTTCTCAAGCCCTGGCGACTGACTTCTCTCCGAGAGGACAGCCCTAAAGAGTGCAGGGTGAGGGCAGCAACGCCTTCATCACCTCACTTCAGAAGTCACACAGGTCAGCTCTGCTACCTGCCGGAGTTAGACGTGAGCACTGAGTCTGTCTCACAACCAGGGAAGGCAAATTAGGCTCCCCTTTTTAAAGCGAGGACTGTCCGATCATTTGTGGCACATGTAAAGCCACTGCAGGCTGCCACAGAAATATGCCCCTATCGCCTCTCTTAGGATCCAGTACAAAGATCACTGCCTTTCCCGTGTTTCTTCCTCCGTCTCCCACTGAAAACGGATGCAGATCTAGGGCCCATCCCATGGAGTGCATTTTTCTTGAAATTGCAGGGGCACCCCTATTAGCGCAAGTGTTTTTCTTCTTGACGATTTCTCTGCTGTGAAGGAGATGAGCATCGTCTCCTCCGTGTGGGTGAGGGAGCCTTGCTCTCCTCAAATTGGCAGCCTTGCCCGAGCTGGAGACAGTCCCTGTAGTCTTAGGGAGAAAGGATGGTCTCGGGTAATAACAGCCCACGTGACATTTTTTCCAGTTGAATCTATTCGTGCCTAAGCTTTTAGAGCAAGCCTACATGGCTGGAGTTCTTCTTCAGAGCATTCACCCTGCCATTCCGTACTGATGCTAAGACAGTGGAATTAATACATCAACGTGGTTGGGAAAAGAAACTATCCCAGGACATTCACAAGGAAGGCGGACTGATTCAATTGTGTAGTTGCAACAGCTAGAAAAACAATTATTCATAAAGAAAAAAAAATGCAGTAAAAGTATCAAAACTTAGCGTATGAGGTCTTACTAATTCTGATGGCTGAATGTTCACAGCTATATACATATTCCCATGGAGATTAGCTTGTTCAAAAGAACAAACTGGAAATGTTTTTTAAAAATAGAGGTATTATGTAACTGAGACATGAATCTGAGATTCCAAAAATATATGCTCTTTCTCTGTTGGCTTCTCCACATTCTGTATTCATGAACCATCCTGGCTAATAATTGAAAACCTAGTCTTTAACAGAAATATGCAAGTTAGATTAATTTGATGATAAAGAATTGTAACATTTTGGGAAATTTCATAGTTTTATATGTTGTACCAAATAGATGAGAAGAGGGAAAAAACCTATATGAACTTCTGGTTTCCAAAATAAACACCAGCCCTAACCGGTTTGGCTCAGTGGATAGAGCATCGGCCTGCGGACTCAAGGGTCCTGGGTTCGATTCCGGTCAAGGGCATGTACCTTGGTTGCGGGCACATAGCCAGTGGGGAGTGTGCAGGAGGCAGCTGATCGATGTTTCTCTCTCATCAATGTTTCTAACTCCCTATCCCTCTCCCTTCCTTTCTGTAAAAAATCAATAAAATATATTTAAAAAAAGGGGAATTAACAAAATAAACACCAAAATTTTATTGGGAGAAAAAGTCTAAGGAAAACCCAAACTCCAAAATCCACCCAATAGAGATTTTAAGTGAGACGTCTATTAAATGAACCACTATACTTTGCATTTAACTCAGGGCTGGAGGACGTTCTCTAAATGTGAGTAGAAATAACATCCGACAGAAGCGTGTTTGAACCCTTTTATTGAACAGGCAATGCGTTGTGCAACGGTTAAGGACACAGATGCCTCGTGGAAAAATTTAAAAATTGTTGTTGGAAACGGTCTATGTGAGCTGATGCGCCTGCTGTGTGCTTCCCGCCCCTTCACAGAGGGACTGTCCTTGGAAGCGGCATGCTCTAGCGCTGCTCTTGGAAGCGGCATCCTTACGTCCATAAATATCATGCCCCATCGGGAAGGAGAGGAGAAGACAGGATCCGCAGGCAAGACCCCGGCCACAGACACAAGCCGATCTCAGCTGGGGGCACAGACACACGTTCTCCAGGTCCCGGTTTTGCATCCGCGTTTCATTGCCTTTTTCTTCCGTGTCAGAGCTCCTTTGATCAAGGGATTTCTGAAAGACTGGCATTCAGGCCTCTGGGCACCGGGCCTTGTTCCCTGAACACCTTTTCAATGGTCTTCTTGTTTTCGGGCCCTGCTGGCCAGGCCTGTGGCTGTGTGTCTGTCCTTGTTTGGCTGGCTCGTTCCGCCCCAAGCCCGCCCTCCCATAACCGGATGATAAAAATCACTCTTACGTTTCAGTGTCTTTGCCTTTAGTGGCCGTTTTTCACTAAGGGACCCGTCAAGGTGGTGGACGCTTTTTGTCACACGCTGCCAACCTATTTTATAATTTGGGGCATGTCACTCCAAGCTTGAGACTTCTTTCTGGCGAGTTCCATCCAGGACGGCTGCTCCGCACTGGCGTAGCTGGCTCTCTTCAGCTGGTGCAGCTCTCTCTCCGCCATCGCTGCAGACTGAGCTGCTGGGATGAAGACAACACAAACACACACACACTAGCAACGCGTTTCAATGTTCACTCAAGCCTCTGCATTTCTTTAAAATACGCATTGAGGTCTTAACTGTGGTCTCAAACATGAAATCCTTAATGCGAGAAAATGTGAAGAAGGTTTAGGCCCAGAATAACTTCTGTGCCAAAAGGACCGACAGGAGGCTCCCATGCAGTGAGGAGAGAGAAACTTCTAGAATAAAACTGCAGCCTGGGGGACTGGGTGTACAAGTGTGAATACTCTTAACACGACTGAACTGCACACTTAAAAATGGTTAAGGTGGTAAGTTTTGTTATGTGTATTTTACATAATTGAAAAGAAATTTAAAAGGTACTGATACGTGGAATGTCAGAGATGAATGTTCCGTGAAAGAAGCCAGACACCAAAGAACACGTATTTTATGATTCCAGGGATGAGAAGTGTCTAAGAAGGGTGAGTATGCAGAGACTGAAAGTGGATTTGTGGTTGCCTGGAGTGGTGAGTGCCTGTAAATGGGCACAAAGTTGCTTTTTAGGGCGAGGTTGGGTGAGGTTCTAAAATTGGATGGTGCTGGTTGGACAACTCAGTAAATATATATACTCACTGTCAATTGTACACTTAAAACAGGTGAGTTTTATGGCAATATCTCAATAAAAGCTATTTTAACAAATCAATGTGTCAAATAATTCAGAAAAACAAAGCAAAACAAACAAACACACCAAAAAACAAAACCCGTGGGACCCACCCCAGAAGCGTATGTCAGAGTGTTTGGGACTGTCTGCAGGTTTCATACCCAAGTTCTGATGGGACAAGGAGATCCCTCTCTGCAGCCCCTCCTGGAGGCAGAGCTTGGTCCCCTGCCTTCGGTCCACGGAGGGCTTCGCCGGGGTGATCAGGAAAGACTTGCTGCGGATGAAGTCGGCTTGCCTCACGGGCTCCTGTGAGGACGCAAGAAAGACACACTGTCTGTCACCTGAGACTCCGATGGGTCTGAGCAGAACCCCAGGTACAAGCCACAAGGTCTGTCAACAGGAAGCGTGCGGCTGGCGTCGTCTTGGGCTCTGCTCTGTGCACTCATGGGCGCCAGTCTTCAGAACCAGGAGCTCGGACGCTCCTGGGCACACACAGGCGTCCTGGGTTCTGCCCTGTCCCCACCCCTGGCCTCAGCCCCCGATACTGGACGGCAGGGATCCCATCAGAAAGTCAAAATGAATGGTGTTTGGAAGTAGTTTTGAGGTTTTTATGACACTTGGTCTGCTCACAGATGCCCCAAACCAGATCGCTGGTTAGTATTTGTTTATAAATGCTGTCTGCACGCAGGGTTTCAGGCACGGGGATGATTGAGATCTGGGTTAAGATGAAGGGGAGCAGGTCCTGCTGCTGGCTCTGCCTTGTCCCCCTCCCCCTATGCCTCCCCCCCACCCCCCGCCCCCCTTCCCCGGCTGAAACACTCTGTGGCTTCACCGTGGTGGCTATTTGGGGGACCGTGGATGCCATGATTCTCAGCCTGCTTCCAAGCACAGTTGTTTGGGGTTGAAAAAGCTGTTCTCAGTCCAGACTGCAAATGGACCCTGGGTGCAGCGCCGTGCCGGGTCTGGGAGGAAGGGACCCTGACCTGCACTGGCATCACTGGCAGGCACCCGGCAGCAGCAACATCGGGGCTGGTCCACCCCGAGACGAGAGGCAGCTTTTGACATGGCCGCCGCGTCTGCCTGAGAAGCTGTTTTAACCCTGCTCCGCGTCTCCAGATGCTGCGTGCGTTGCCTAGGAGGCAGGGAGCCCAGAGCTGTCTCTCCTGCCTAAGTGATCCACCTGCTCCTCTGCCTCCCTAACAGCCCCGCACATGCCCGGGCAGCCAGCAGCCAGCATCCCAGGCCGCGGGCTCTGCACTGACCAGGCAGGAAGCGTGGTCCTTGCGGGGCCTCGGCCCCCAGCCCGGCCAGCTGCTCCCTCCCACATCCACAGGGACAGGAACCCACCTGGGCTCTCTCGGGTGCCCTGGCTGCCCTTCCTATTTCGGGCTTCAGGGTCTGGGCCCCAGGCTTGTCCTCCTGGTTGGGTGGCTGCTCGGGGGCCCCTCGCCGCTTCTGTGGGGTGATGGTGATCCAGGGCGGCCCCGACTGGCCCTCGGCTCCAGGCCCCGATGCTGCGGGAGGCAGGCCCTTCTCTGTGGGTAGAGACACAAGGTTGTCAAAACACTCCCGGTCCCTCTTCAGTCTCACTTTTGTGGCTCCCACACCCAGGACGCTGGAGGGGCGAGGGGAGCAGGGGGCGGTGGGAGGGGAACGACGCTGGGAGCCCCTCTCCCCGGGGTGGGGGACAATTCCTTTTCTTGAGGGAACTTTGCATCCTCATTTATGGGTGCACCAAAGAGACTGTGCTTCTCTGGTCTGAGCCACAGAAACTTAAATGCAGCTGCTCCTGTACACACATCCTAGAGCCCACTTCCTCCCTCGTAAGGGACATTTTCTGGGATGACACAGCCGTACACAAGCAGATAAGGTTTCTGGAATATAAGACCATCATTTTACACACTTCCTGATTGGTTTGGAAACTGTAGACACATTCTTCTTCCTTTTTTTTTTCTTTTAAAAATTGTAAGCACGCCCTTCCATTTGTAAAGAATGACACCCAAAACAGCCACAGCTGTCTCCCCCATGTTCTGAGAGAAGAGAAATGGTGCCTTAAAGCCACCACGTTCTGCTGACTTTTCTCCCACATTCACAGCGATCTCTGGGTGGTACGACTGTGGGTCATCCCCCTCTTCCTTTTTAACTCTTCTGTATTTTCATATTTTCTACAACGAGAATTTATTACCTTCATTAAGAGAAAAAGGAAGCAATCTTTTTTTTTTTTTCAAGGAAACATACAGATGAAATAAGCGGCTTCTCACAGGTTCAAAAGTCCTTTCTCTCTGAAGTACACGAGACCCAAACGTTGCCGCAGCCTGTCCCTCTGAACCTTTGCCTCCAGCACACGGAACAAAGACCGACTTCACGTCCACATGCCTGACCCCCTCCCACGTGAGCACCTGGGTCAGCCAGGTGAGGCAGCATCTGTCACAGCAGATGCCCCAGGGCAGGTAGCGTCATTGTTCTCTGTGCTCTGACACACGCCGCCCCCTGCTCTGGTGTGTTCGGGATATCGCTCTATTTGTTCTTGTTTCTGCCTCCAGTTCAACCTGGTCACCAAGGAGGGGTGAGGGATAGGAGCCACTGAGCACCTGTCTCCGGCCAGCTGAGAAGGGCCTCTCCGGCCTGGGCCGCTGGGGACGGCCCCTGCTCTGCTCCTGGCTGCCCCTGAGGCCTTCACGCCCCTGTCCTCTGGGAGCCCGGCTCCATCTGTCTGTCTCACCCCTTGTCTCTTCCTGCAGCTGCAGGCTCTTCCTGGCCACTGCCGTCTTCCCTGCTGCTTTGCATAAAGCTTGGGTCTCCCACAGCTCCAAGGAAAACGGTCTCCACTTTGGCTCGAGGCCCCTTGAAGCCCCAGCTCCCCACTCCCCTCCACCCTCAACCTGTGGCCTCTGCCTGAGTCCCTCCAGCCAATTCCTTCGCCAGCCACACATGAGTGCTGGACCTGCCCACCGCTGAACCAGGTGTACGGATGCCTTTCCCACCCCCCACTTGCTCACCCCCGACCTGACCACGGAACCGCTCTAGGCACCTTCCTCCTTGGGTGCTCCTGCTCTAGGCCCTTGCCAGACTCGCTCCCGAACCTGGAGATTCTTCCTCGTTCCCACCCCCAGCCTTCATCTCTCCTTCGGTTCCACCCCTGATTTCAGCACTCAGATTGGCCTGGATGCCTTTCCAGCGTATAATCTAGCCCTAGTTCCTACTCTCAGGCCCAGTCCAGCGTTTCCACTCCCCTTCTTCTCGCCCTCCCTTCCTTACAAAGCTCAAAGTCTAGTGCGGGAGACTACCCACAAGTAACCATGGTGGAAACTGGAAAATGCTACAATTTATAAAGTGCTGTGTACACAGGGCCTAAGCTAGTGGGCAGCATTTGAGGATGCTGTCTGGGGCTGGGGCCTGGAGAAGGACAGCAAAGCGTCTAGGCCAGTGATGGCGAACCTATGACACGCGTGTCAGAGGTGACACGCGAACTCATTTTTTTGGTTGATCTTTCTTTGTTAAATGGCATTTAAGTATATAAAATAAATATCAAAAATATGTCTTTGTTTTACTATGGTTGCAAATATCAAAAAATTTCTATATGTGACACGGCACCAGAGTTAAGTGAGGGTTTTTCAAAATGCTGACACGCCGAGCTCAAAAGGTTCACCATCACTGGTCTAGGCTGAGCAGAGGGGCAAGGAAGGCCACCCAGGTGGAGCGGGCAGAGGCAGAGCTGCCTGCAGGCCGGCCCGCAGGCAGCAGGCCAACTGAAAAGGGGCCCTCTGGCCTTCTCCCTGTCCACATGGGAAGCCTCCAGGGGTCAATTCAGGGTCACATCTGGAGGCTGTGTGAGGAGTACCTCTGACTAGGGAACGAGGAGGGGGGCTGTGTCACAGTCCAGAGAGGTGACCAGGGATTGGATGCCCTGTTCCAGAACCACCCCTTCTTGTCCAACAAGGCCATGCCCAGATGCCACCTCCTCCATGCAGCCTGCCCTGGTTCTCTCAGCTGGACATTCTCTCCCTCTCCTAATCCTTCTGTAACTCTCTGAGACCTTTGCCCCAGTGGTTGGTGCTAGACATGTCTGCTAGCTGACTTTCTACCCCACTGGTACATGCTTCTGGTCATTAGAACTTATTTAACAAATGCATGACACAGACTACACACCACGTCCTATTATCAAGGCAGTCCACTTATGACATAATTTTACATGTTATTTATTGTCCAGACCCTGGCACATGAAAGGTAAGCTGGTGGTTGTCTGTTTTACAGAAAGTCTACACTTCTCATTCCTGGTTATTAATCCCTCATTCAGAGTCCTCACGCTATCTTCCTGGACTTGTGTTTTTTCTTTTTTCAATCTTTATTGTTGACTAGGGGCCCAGTGCACAAATTCGCGCACCATGAAAGGAACTGTGGGCCGCAAGGCTGCGGTGGGCACAGGGCGGGTCTCAGCCCATCCTCCGTGCCCCCACCCAGCCCCTCCCACTGCGGCCCCCGGTCTCCTGTTGGCTGGCAGCCCCACTCCCGGGGCCGCTGCTCTCACGCACTGATGGCGCCGGCCCTGCTCACACCTGCTGACTGCCCGATCGCCCCTCAGGAGCAGGGGGAGGTGGAGAATCCCTCAGGGGCGACTGGGGCCTGCAGCTGCTGCTTGCACCGCTGATGGCACCAAGCGACTGGGATCGGCGCTGAGCGCTTGGGACCAGCACTGGGCGCTGGCAGAGGGTGTGAGCAGCGGCTCCGGTGCTGGCTGTGGGTGCGAGCAGGGCCAGCTCCGGCAGCAGGTGCGAGTGTCTGGCAGGACCGAGGCACATGAGAGCAAAGAATTTCCAGTAACCACCAGAGGCTCCCCCTGATGACAGCAACTGGCGCCTCACCTTGGTCTGGTGCCCCCGCTCATCTGGTCCACCATCCCACCATGGCAACACCCACCATGTTTCACACGCTGCCATCTGCTGCTGACACCCGCCATGTTCCAGGCACATCCCCTGGTGGTCAGCACACGTCATAGCGAACAGTTGTTCGGTTGTTCTGCCGTTTGGTCTATTTGCATGTTGGGTTTTATATATATAGATAGAAGATAGTATTACAGATGCCCCCTTTTTTTCTCCCCATTGCCCCCTCTACCTGGTTCCCACCCTGCCCCACCCCAGGCCTTCACCACCCTATTGTCTGAGTCCATAGGTAATGCCATGCATATAAGATCTTTGGTTAATCTCTTCCCACCCCCTGCACTCCCTTCCCTCTGAGATTGGTCAGTCTGTTCCATGTTTTCATGCCTCTGATTCTATTTTATTCATTAGATTTCTTGTTTAGTTTTTTAGATTCAATTGTTGATAGGTACATATTTATTGGCATTTTATTGTTCATATTCTTTATCTTTTCTTCTTCTTCTTCCTCTTCTTAAAGAATACCCTTCAACATTTCATCTAATACTGGTTTGGTGGTGATGAACTTTTTTAGTTTTTTCTTGTTTGTGAAGCTCGTTATCTGGCCTTCAATTCTAAATGGTAGCTTTGCTGGGTAGAGTAATATTGGTTGTAGTCCTTGCTATTCATCACTTTGAATATTTCTTGCCACTCCCTTCTGGCCTGCATAGCTTCTGTTGAGAAATCAGCTGACAATCATATGGGTACTCCCTTGTAGGTAATTAACTGCTTTTCTCTTGCTGCTTTTAAGATTCTCTTTTTATCTTTAAGCCTTGGCATTTTAATTATGATGTGTCTTGGTGTGGGCCTCTTTGGGTTCCTCTTGTTTCGAACTTTCTGTGCTTCCTGGACTTGTAAGTCTATTTCTTTCACCAGATAGGGGAAGTGTTCTGTCATTTTTCCTTCAAGTAGGTTTTCAAATATCTTACTTTCTCTCTTCTCCTTCTGGCACCCCCATAATGTGAATGCTGGTACACTTGAAGTTGTCCCAGAGGCTCCTTACACTAGCTTCATATTTTTGGATTATTTTTTCTTTTTGCTCTTCTAATTGAGTGTTTTTTGCTTCCTCATATTCAAATCATTGATTTGATTCCTGGATTCCTCTTCTCTACCGTTCAAACTCTGTAAATTATTCTTTATTTCAGTTAGTGTATGCTTAATTTCTGACTGGTCCTTTTTCATGTCTTTGACATTCTCACCAAGATTCTTAAAAGTCTCACTAAGTCCCCTGAAGTTCTCATTAAGATCCTTGAGCAACCTTATAATCATTAGTTTAAACTCTGTATCTAGTAGTTTGTTTACTTCTATTTCTTTCATTTGTAACACGTTTCTTTCTCTGCATTTTGGCAGCTTCCCTGTGTTTGTTTCTATTTATTAGGTAGAGCTACTATGTCTCCTGGAATTGGTAGAAAGAACTTGTGTATTAGGTGTCTTGTAGGGCTCAATGGCTCAGTGTCCCCTGTCACCTGAGCTGGGCACTCTAGGTGCACCCCTGTGTGGGCTGTGTGCACAGTCTTGTTGTAGTTGAGCCTTGATTGCTGTTGGCATTACTGGGAGGAATTGACCTCCAGGCCAATTGGCTGTGAGGACCAGCTGTGTCCACAATGGGAGAACTGCTGTGC